AACATTATTTTTCTGGTCTGCAGCTGGTGTTTTTTGGGAGCGGAGGTGAGCAGTCCAACAATGATGTGTTATACTGACCTAGGATGCCAAGGCAGGGAGAGCAGGACATCACTTAAGGCAGAATTGGAAAAGCAGCACATACTAGAAGAAAGAAAGGGGGCACTTCATAGTGAACAGCAGACACCAGTTGGCATCTGGAGCTACAAAAAAATAAAAAGCCCCGCTATAACCACTCCCAGACTGGCGGTCTGAATGTCACTTTATTTTTTTTATCTCTGTTATTTATGCTTTATTTTTTCTTTTCTTTAATATTTTTAATTAATGCAGTGGTCAGGCTGCGCAAAGCAGAAGCCAGGCAGGTTTGCAATTCCTTGGCTTTGCCAGCATAATGTTCCTTCTTTCAAGAACAGCTTCCTTCTTCCTCTGCCCAGCAGCTGTTTTTTTTTTCTATTTATTTTTTTTCCAATGCCCTATAGTGAGGGCATTGGAGGTATGGAAACAGGGGAAAACCCTTCAGACATATGGGGTTTCCACAGCGCAGTGGGAAGGACTGGCAGCAGCAAATGGAGGAGACCTACAGCCATAGGCTGTATGCCCTTTCACACTGCAGGGGGAATGGCAGGAAATAGAGGAGGAAACTCCAGCAGCCAGGGGGAAGGGCATTATAATTTCCATTATCCTTTTAGAATCCCCCAGGGAAACAACTGCATGAAGCACTTGGTGCCATTCTGATCTTGGTCTTGATTGCTGGGCTGGCATGGTTGACATTAAACATGGTCGTCATTCACAACAACACAAACCGGCAGCTAGTACTGTTGTCTCTCACTACAGAAAAGCAGACAGGCTCCGGCGTACAAGAAATGCATGTTAGTCTACCTTCTTCAAGCACCAAAGAGTGCTCATCTGCCTGATAGTCAGGTTGACTAGCTCTATAGTGTAATAGCATATGCTTGGAAAGTGAAGGTAGCAGTCTGTATAGTAAGCTGTCTCTAGTGTTGTCAGCAGTGGGCATAATATCTAGCTCAGTGAGTACAAAGAGGGTTGGTGGCTACAGAGGCTACAGTGCTGTGCTGTAGTTTCCTCAAAGGAATGACCATAAACTGGGCTTCAGCCTGGGGTGGAGCAAACAAGATAAAAAATGTGCTCTATTGCACAACCACAGCGCAGGTCATAACAGGACCAAGTGTTGAATCCGCCATCAGACAAAGTGCATGTAACACTTTTCTCTTTCTGGTGCTGCTTCTTCAAGCCATATGCTGCCACCCTTTCCCAAATCAGGACTGCCCTGATGATAGGCAGACCTAAAAATTAGAGGAGTGCTGCACGTGGAGGTGGTAAGTGGCAAGTATCAGTGATGTTCCCTCTTCATCCATATTCTCCAATCTTGCCATTTCCAGTCTGCAGCTTTTATCAGTAATGGTTCAGTAAAAGCAACAACCACTTGGGCACAAAGTGCATATGCCCAGCCTCATGAACCTCCAAACTCAATGGGAGCAGCATATGAAGGAGAACATTTTGCAGCAACAGTCCCAGCCACCTTCTATGCCATTATTTTTCTAACAAGGCTATCCCTGCCCTCCACATGTCATGTGAAGCATTCTCTTTTGTCTTCTTTAATGCTTTAAATCTTCTTGGAAACATATAAGAGATGTTATTGATGTTGACATCTGCTGCCATAGAATAAAGATTTGTTTTTTTGTGGCAGGTTGAAGAGGAATCTGACCACTTGTAGTTTGTTGTATCTGATTAGGTGTGGTCTCATCTCTGATCTCTTTCATTTCCTCAAGGTCTGATTTTTCTGGTTGTAATTCTGGATCTGCAATAACCAGGCACTCTATCATAACATGCATTTTTTTTTTATACGATTTATTTTATTATAAGGCCAGACCTGCCCTGCTCAAGCAAACAGGGTAAGGAAGGCAATGCAAACCGGGTGGCTGGGAAGGATGCTGCAATGAAGGGAATTTGTAGTACTGCTACGTTTGGTTAGAGACTCATCTCATATTTCCCCGCAGAGCGCCCTTTATCAAATGAGTAGAGCTGCAGCTAACGATTATTTTCAAAATCGGTTAGCCGATTATTAAGATCGGTTAATCGGATAAACAATAAAATAAATTTTTTTAAATGGCTCCACTGATGGGACTACTAGTTTGTATTGAGATTGCAGTCCATCACAGGAGCAAGCTTGGAGCGGTGGAAGTAAAAAAGAAAAAAAAAAAAAAGTGTGGTGTGCAATATAGTGAAATGAAAAGTGAAAAATTATACAGCAATAAATGCAGAATGGCACCGGATTTAGAGGACTACAAAACCCAGCAATAGTACAATATACAGCGCAATGCAGAATACCGCCAGCTATAGAGGAGCACAACAAATCCTTATAGCTGCTGGTATTCCGCATTGCGCTGTATAATGTATTATTGCTGGTATTTGTAGTGCTCCTCTATAGCTGGTGGAATTCCGCATGGCGCTGCATAATGTATTATTGCTGGGATTTGTAGTGCTCCTCTATAGCTGGTGGAATTCCGCATGGCGCTGCATAATGTATTATTGCTGGGATTTGTAGTGCTCCTCTATAGCTGGTGGAATTCCGCATGGCGCTGCATAATGTATTATTGCTGGGATTTGTAGTGCTCCTCTATAGCTGGTGGAATTCCGCATGGCGCTGCATAATGTATTATTGCTGGGATTTGTAGTCCTCTATACAGCGCAGTGCAGAATACCACCAGCTTTAGAGGAGTACAACAAATCCCAACAATAGTACATTATACATACAGTGTATAATGTATTGCTGGGATTTGTATTCCTCTGTATAATATACAGCACAATGTACCATCAGCTATAGAGGACTACAAATCCCAGCAATACATTATAGAGCACCATGTGTGGGAAAGTGCAGGCTTACCTGAGCAGTCTTCCAGCAACGTGTTTCTGAGACCGGACCTGTCTATCTGCGGCTGTCATCCCCCCACACCTGCACCTCCTTACTACATCTCCCCATGTCCCTGTGCCGATCGTGGATGTGGGCGGTGAGTGTGAGGCGGGAAGGAGGTGCGGCGTGTAGAGCGTGGATGCAGGCGGGTCTGGCAGCGGTGAGCGTGAGTTGGGGAGGAGGTGCGGCGCGCAGCGTGTGTGGAGCCGTGAACAGGGCCAACTGATCGGAAGCCGATTAATCGATTATTGAAAAAGTTGCCAACTTTTTCAATAATCGATTATAATCGATTATGTCGATTAGTTGTTGCAGCCCTACAAATGAGTAAGTAGTGAAGACAGCAACTGGTCTAGAAGCAGAGCAGTTAAGTAAAGCCTTGAACCACACCAGCACACGCCAAAACCCAT